TGTATTTATTTATCATATAAACACATTATCTTCTTCTTTTTTCTCTTGTATACCTAAGGCTTCTCTTATTAACAATGTTGCCTCCCTCTCGTTATAACAGCAGCAGCAACCAATGTCCTCTCTCTTCCTGTTAGCAGTAGTAACAGCAGCAGCAGCAGCAGCAACAGCAGTAGTAGCAGCACCAGCAGCAAGAGGAGGATGGTTAATCTGCTATACCTAGTACTTAACCCCACCAATTGCATGTATGACCTTGAACTATAAACCCTAAACCCTAAACCCTAAACCCTAAAAAAGGGTTTACAGGTGTCTTAAACACCTCCTAAACCCTAATCCTTTATTGTTAAGGACAGGAGTGTGTGTACACCAGAAAACCCTAAAGGGGGGACATTATTTGTATATGAGCTGCCTATACACCTGAATATTACCTATAAATATCCTTAACAAGATGCACAAGGAGACAAACTTGTTTATAAAAAAGAAGAAAAAGAAATAAAAAATAAATTCTTTTATTAAAGATAATAAACAGCTCATGGGGTGTATGCGCAGACACGCGAGGGAAAAAAGAAATATACACTAGGCCGTTTCCTATTAACTCACCGGAACCCTAACCCTAAACCCTAAACCCTAGTTATTCAGGAGAGGGGTTAGAGGGGGCCTCTTGCTTATTTCCAGGGCCTCCCTTTTGTTTAGGGTTAGGGTGAGGCCCCTTGGTGTTTAGGGTTTAGGGTTTAGGGTTTAGGGTTTATAGAAGAGAGGAGGTCCTCCCATCAACTGCATGATACCTGCTGCTGCTGTCTGTCCCCACGCCGTAAACCCTAAACCCTAAACCCTAGGCAATAAATTCTGTGGGCCACATCACTGCATGCAACGCATGCGTGAGGCCGTAAACCCTAAACCCTAGATCCTCCCTCCCGTGCTGCAGCTAGCAGCAGCCCTCCTACGTGTAAGTTTTTTGTTTCTTTTCCTCCTTTCCCTAAGGTATTACAATAAGTTATAATATATTGCTAATATAATTATATACAATTAGTGCATTTGCTGCTGCCGCTGCTGCAGCACGCGCTGCACTGCAGCAGCAAATACAGTTGGGCTCTCTTTCTGCTGCATGCTAACACACTAAACCCTCATACTACTAGGGGGGCCCCTCTAAACACTAATATGATTACAAGGGGCCCCTCATAATATTAATTATTAACAAAAGCTAGCGGCAGTGTGCTGTCTAGACACCTCGAGTCTTTTTTCCCCCCATATATATGTGGGGGCCCCCAGAGGGGGCCCCTCCAACCTGCAACAAGACCTGATAACTCCTGAGCAGCAAACCAAAGGATGAGGGGGGCCCCATGCTGCACCTTGACACTGAGGCAAGCAGCAGCACCAAGAAGCAGCAGCAGCAACAATAACAACAGGTAAGCAGCACCAACACACACATCAGTCTACAGCACACGAGGCAAGAGGCGGGGGCCCCCTAATGCAAGAGGGGGTCCCCTGATACAAGATTTGGGTCCCCTGGTGCAAGAGAGGGGGCCCCTTTATACTGATACACGAGGGGGGGTACATGGACAAAAGGGGGGCCCCCAAAGGTGATGGTAGAGCAAAGGAACCGGAGCCAGCTGGGCAATTGGATAAGGTAAGGGGGGCCCCTGAGGAGCGTAGCTAGTTGCTAGTTCTGCTGAGGTGTATATACACCGTAAGTTGCATGCAGCAGCAACTAGCAGCAGCAGATATCTACAGAGGCAATAGAGGCTTTCTTTGGTGTCTCCATGTAGCAAATTGGCGGCACCTTCCTGCTGGTATAGACCCTAAAGTGGGGGCCCCCTTTATAGGGTACAGGGGGCCCCAATAAAAGGAAATAGAACGAGGAAGATAGCAACAAAAAGGAGACAGAAAGGAGACACACAAGAGACAGAGAGGGGCAGCAAAACGCCGTACTTGAGGTGTACATACACCTCAACCTACACTACAATCAAGAATTTAACGAGGCCCTAATTGTATATACACTGCATGCAGTGTATATACACATAAGCATAAACCCCACAGCCCCAGGCCCTGCTGCCTGAGGGGACCCACTGCAGCAGCAGCAGCAGCAGCTGCTGCTGCTGCAGCAGTAAAAACACCTGTGTAACCCATCTTTATAAGAGAGTCTCCCTTTCTTTTCCCTCCTTCCTCTGTCTCCGAGCTGCCTGTACACCTGAACTTCTCCCTCCCCTGCAGCTCGCAGCCATACAGGGAACGAAGATCCGCAGCAGCAGCAGCAGCAGCAGCAGACCTAGGGTGTATAAGTGTGGGATCGATCCAGCCTCCTCCTGTATTAGAGTGGGATCGGATCCCTCCGGGTATATATATGTGGGATCGGATCCCAGTGGGTGTATAGATGATGTGGGATCGGGATCGGATCCCCTGTGGGTATACAGATCTGTATATAGGGATCGGATCCAAGCGTGCGTGTGTATAGATAGGGGATCGGCTTATAGGGGGTATATATATATATATATATATATATATA